ATATGAGGTTCTTTGATATGCTGAATCTAAACATGAATTTTTTCAAGTTGGTCCAAATTGTGGTCCAAAATTAAACTTTGTTTGATTTCAACAAAAAATGAATATATGGGGTTCTTTGATATGCTGAATCTAACCATGTATTTAGATTTTTTATTTGTGGACCCCGTTATCTAATTGGTTCATATTGAGGTCAAAAGGGTCCAAAATTAAACTTTGTTTGATTTCATCTAAAATTGAATTATTGGGGTTCTTTGATATTCCAAATCTAACCGTGTATTTAGGTTTTTAATTTTGGGTCCTGTTTTTTAAATTGGTCTACATTGAGGTCCAAAGGGTCCAAAATTAAACTTAGTTTGATTTTGACAAAAATTGAATTCTTGGGGTTCTTTGATTTGCTGAATCTAAACATGTGTTTAGATTTTTGATTATGGGCCCAGTTTTCAAGTTGGTCCAAGATAGGGTCCAGTATTTATACTTTTTTTGATTATGGGCCCAGTTTTCAAGTTGGTCCAAATTGGGGTCCAAAATTAAACTTTGTTTGATTTCAACAAAAATTGAATATATGAGGTTCTTTGATATGCTGAATCTAACCATGTATTTAGATTTTTTATTTGTAGGCCCCGCTATCAAATTGGTTCATATTGAGGTCAAAAGGGTCCAAAATTAAACTTTGTTTGATTTCATCGAAAATTGAATTATTGGGGTTCTTTGATATGCCAAATCTAACCGTATTTTTAATTTGGGTCCCGTTTTTTAAATTGGTCTTCATTGAGGTCCAAAGGGTCCAAAATTAAACTTAGTTTGATTTTAACAAAAATTGAATTCTTGGGGTTCTTTGATATGCTGAATCTAAACATGTGTTTAGATTTTTGATTATGGGCCCAGTTTTCAAGTTTGTCCAAGTTGGGGTCCAAAATTAAACTTTTTTTGATTTCAACAAAAATTGAATATATGTGGTTCTTTGATATGCTGAATCTAACCATGAATTTAGATTTTTTATTTGTGGGCCCCGCTATCAAATTGGTTCATATTGAGGTCAAAAGGGTCCAAAATTAAACTTTGGTTGATTTCATCAAAAATTGAATTATTGGGGTTCTTTGATATGCTGAATCTAACCATGTATTTTGATTTTGGACATTGGACCATAATAGGTAAATTAAAAAAATTCAAGTTCTTAGACCACATTCATTCTGTGTCAGAAACCTATGCTGTGTCAAATATTTAATAACAATCCAAATTCAGAGCTGTATCAAGCTTGAATGTTGTGTCCATACTTGCCCCAACTGTTCAGGGTTCGACCTCTGCGGTCGTATCAAGCTGCGCCCCAGCGAAGCATTTTATTAATTTTAGTTTCTTGTGTACAATTTGGAGTTTAGTATGGCGTTCATTATCACTGAACTAGTATATATATTTGTTTAGGGGCCAGCTGAAGGACGCCTCCGGGTGCGGGAATTTCTCGCTGCATTGAAGACCTGTTGGTGACCTTCTGCTGTTGTCTGTTCTATGGTCGGGTTGTTGTCTCTTTGACACATTCCCCATTTCCATTCTCAATTTTATATGTTTGAACAAGTAATTTAAATGTAGATAATTTAATTACATTCAACATTCAATTTTGCATGTATAACTCCATCTTTCAAAACTCCTTGTTTATTTTGGTATAAGTTATAAAACATTGAAATTTCTGATGATTATTTTCCATACCAAATGTACAAGTTTGTTTAGAGTAACATCAGAATGATATGCTTTGCTTCATGGTATGATAATTTGATGAAAAAAAAATCTTACTGGAACCAACATCAAGAACACATAAATTTCTGAATATGGTTTAAATACAACTAATGTTCTCCAGCTGAGCCTAGGAATATTCAAGGTAATTTATACACTGTCCAACATTGCCCTTAAAATCTGGGTTATAACGCTAAAGTGCCCTTTCAGACAACTAGCACCCTTCTGCCCTGAGATTCAAGCTGGAACACTGATGTACTTTAACCATGATGCTGACTTAAAGTAAATTCTGATTTGAATCAAGGCACACTACTTTGACCATGATGCTGACTTAAAGTAAATTCTGATTTGAATCAAGGCACACTACTTTGACCATGATGCTGACTTAAAGTAATATCTGATTTGGATCACGACACACTACATGTACTTTGACCATGATGCTGACTTAAAGTAAATTCTGATTTGAATCAAGGCACACTACCTTGACCATGATGCTGACTTAAAGTAAATTCTGATTTGGATCCCAGCACACTACATGTACTTTGACCATGATGCTGACTTAAAGTAAATTCTGATTTGAATCAAGACACACTACATGCACTACTTTGACCATGATGCTGACTTAAAGTAAATTCTGATTTGAATCAAGGCACATCACTTTGACCATGATGCTGACTAAAAGTAAGTTCTGATTTGAATCATGACACACTTGAATCAAGGCGCACTACTTTGACCATGATGCTGAGTTAAAGTAAATTCTGATTTGAATCACAACACACTTGAATCAAGGCACACTACTTTGACCATGATGCTGACTTAAGTAAATTCTGATTTGAATCACGACACACTACTTTGACCATGATGCTGACTTAAAGTAAATTCTGATTTGAATCAAGGCACACTTCTTTGACCATGATGCTGACTAACAGTAAATTCTGAATTGAATCACAACACACTACTTTGACCATGATGCTGACTAAAATTTAATTCTGATTTGAATCACGACACACTACTTTGACCACGATGCGGACTTAAAGTAAATTCTGATTTGAATCAAGGCACACTACTTTGACCATGATGCCGACTGAAAGTAAATTCTGATTTGAATCAAGACACACTACTTTGACCATGATGCTGACTTAAAGTAAATTCTGATTTGAATCACGACACACTACTTTGACCATGATGCGGACTGAAAGTAAATTCTGATTTGAATCAAGACACACTACTTTGACCTTTATGCTGACTTAAAATAAATTCTGATTTGAATGACGACACACTACTTTCACCTTGATGCTGACTTTAAGTAAATTCTGATTTGAATCACGACACACTACTTTAACCATGATGCTGACTTTAAGTAAATTCTGATTTGAATCAAGGCACACTTCTTTGACCATGATGCTGACTTAAAGTAAATTCTGATTTGAATCAAGGCATACTACTTTGACCATGATGCTGACTTAAAGTAAATTCTGATTTGAATCACAACACACTACATGTACTTTCACCATGATGCTGACTTAAAGTAAATTCTGATTTGAATCAAGACACACTACTTTGACCATGATGCAGATTTAAAGTAAATTCTGATTTGAATGACAACACACTACTTTCACCATGATGCTGACTTAAAGTAAATTCTGATTTGAAGCATGATACACTACTTTGACCTAGATGCTGACTTAATGTAAATTCTGATTTGAATCACGATACACTACATGTACTTTGACCATGATGCTGACTTAAAGTAAATTCTAATTTGAATCAAGACACACTACTTTGACCATGATGCTGACTAAAAGTAAATTTTGATTTGAATGACGACACACTACTTTGACCATGATGCTGACTTAAAGTAAATTCTGATTTGAAGCATGATACACTACTTTGACCATGATGCGGACTGAAAGTAAATTCTGATTTGAATCAAGACACACTACTTTGACCTTTATGCTGACTTAAAATAAATTCTGATTTGAATGACGACACACTACTTTCACCTTGATGCTGACTTTAAGTAAATTCTGATTTGAATCACGACACACTACTTTAACCATGATGCTGACTTTAAGTAAATTCTGATTTGAATCAAGGCACACTTCTTTGACCATGATGCTGACTTAAAGTAAATTCTGATTTGAATCAAGGCATACTACTTTGACCATGATGCTGACTTAAAGTAAATTCTGATTTGAATCACAACACACTACATGTACTTTCACCATGATGCTGACTTAAAGTAAATTCTGATTTGAATCAAGACACACTACTTTGACCATGATGCAGATTTAAAGTAAATTCTGATTTGAATGACAACACACTACTTTCACCATGATGCTGACTTAAAGTAAATTCTGATTTGAAGCATGATACACTACTTTGACCTAGATGCTGACTTAATGTAAATTCTGATTTGAATCACGATACACTACATGTACTTTGACCATGATGCTGACTTAAAGTAAATTCTAATTTGAATCAAGACACACTACTTTGACCATGATGCTGACTAAAAGTAAATTTTGATTTGAATGACGACACACTACTTTGACCATGATGCTGACTTAAAGTAAATTCTGATTTGAAGCATGATACACTACTTTGACCATGATGCTGACTTAATGTAAATTCTGTTTTAAATCACGACACACTACCTTGATCATGATGCTGACTTAAAGTAAATTTGACTTGAATCAAGGCACACTACTTTGACCATGATGCTGACTTAAAGTAAATTCTGATTTGAATCATGACACACTACTTTGCTATGATGCTGACTTAAAGTAAGTTCTGATTTGAAACAAGGCACACTACTTTGACCATGATGCTGACTTATAAAGTTATAAACCATGCTGTTGGTATGCTCTAACATGTGATATAAAGTGATCCTTCTAAACCACTGGATGGATTTCAGTGAAACTTTCTCAGAATCTTAATTTCATAATGCCATTTTGCACCTCCTATTTAAGATTTTGATTCAACTGATTTTTTTGGAGGGGTTACATGTACATGTATCTTATAGTGAGCTACTAGTTTGTTAATAGAATATTTAATAAATTATTTTATTATAATACTATGTCACTGCTTACAGATAATAAACAATTGTTCGCCATCTATGGTCATATAATGCTGCACTTTTCATAGCTCTTTATTGAATGAGCTTTTTGAGTTCTTAATTTTTCGCTTGTTGACATGGTGCGGCTTAACCATGCATCACTGATGAAGCTTCTCAAGAAGCCTATGATTTATAGCTCTTTCATATTTTTTTTCAGATTTGTTAGATCAACTATTAGAGAGTTTATGATAGCTGTCCAGACACTTTCTAGAAAATGCGAAGAGTACAGAACACATTTGAAAAAAACAATATATGAAGGAACATTTACACGTTTTATAAGTGATTTTGCTGTGTTATGCTGTTTGAAACCAGAGTGAGTTAGTTCTATACATAAATGAATCTTCAGAATACAAATGTACATACATGTATCACATGTACATGTCTTTTCGAAAGCTTTAAACATGCCAGAAAGACTAATGTTAATCGGTATACAAAATATTTTTAGCTCACATGGCCCTGTCATGTGAGCTATTGCCATCACTTTGAGTCTGTTGTTTGTCAGCAATTATAAAAAAGTCATCTCTGAAACTACTAAGCCAATCATAACCAAACTTACAACAATCATCAACATGATGTCTAGTTTCTAATTATACACCCTGCAAACAAAGTTTTTTTTGGGGGGTGGGGGGGGGGGGTATATAGGAATCACTCTGTCTGTCTGTCCGTTTGTCCGTCTACCTTATGTCTTGTAAGAGCAGTGTATGGATCTCTGAAATTATACCACAAGTTTCCATACCACAAAGGGATGGTTAGGATTGGCTTTGGAGGGTTATGGCTCAAACTGTTTAGGAATTAAGGGCAAAAAAGTGAGAAAAAACAAGGGTGTCCTGGTTAGTAGACAATTACTTAAGCACAAATTACAGTGTAAGGGAGGTAATTCAAACACAACTTTGGATTACCTCCCTTACACTGCTTTTAAATTATGTATAAAGAAATGTTGTAATGTCTTGAGGTGATTAGCTGTCAATTTTTAGAAGTTACTATTTTAATAATTTAAAAAAAGCTGATTAAGGTAAATTAATTTAAGCTATGATTATGTATGTCATTTTCTATTTTAAGACTATTATGATGTATTTAAATGGGTTATTATGGTTGCAAACTCCATTGGAAATTTGAATCGAGATTATGACCATGTCTTGAGGGAAAGAATTTTTTTTTGGAAAAGGGGGGGGGGGTCAATTCGCAACAGCATAGTGTATTGCACAAAAGCAAAAAATTGGATATAAATTCAAATCCAGACCAATCTAGCACGAATATTGTGTCCATTTTTGCCCCAACTGTTCAGGGTTGGACCTCCGCCGTCGTATCCAGCTGTGCTAGGCGAAGCAATTTATTGCCTATTATTTCAAAAACTATAATAGATGGAAAGAAACTTTCAATTGCAAAATTGTTCAGAAATAAAAGATGTACAAGAAAGTTAAAATAACAAAAATTGACGGACGAAGTCTTATTGGATTTATTCCCCCCAAATTAGGACTTTCCACAAATTTCACCTTTTTTGGCTCTTATTTCAAAAACTATAATAGATATAAAGAAACTTTCGATTGCAAAAATGTTCAGCAATAAAATATCAACAAGAAAGTTGAATGACCATAATTGTTGGAAAAGTCTCATTGGAGTTATTGGCAATTTGCATGAATTTTACAGTTTTTATACGACCGCAAAAAAATTTTTGTGGTCGTATATTGGTATGACGTTGGCGTCGTCTTCGTCCGAAGACACATTGGTTTTCGCACTCTAACTTTAGTTTAAGTGAATGGATCTCTATGAAATTTTACCACAAGGTTCAATACCACAAAAGGAAGGTTGGGATTGATTTTGGGGGTTATGGTACCAACAGTAAAGGAATTAGGGGCCAAAAAGGGGCCAAAAATAAGCATTTTTGTAACTTCCAGACATAACTTGTGTGTTAGTGTATGGATCTCTCTGACATTGTACCACAAGGTTCCATATCACAAAAGGAATGCTGGGATTGATTTTGGAGGTAATTGCCTCAAAATTTTAGGAATTAGGGGCCAAAAAAGGGGCAAAAAACAAGCATTTTTCTAGTTTCATGACAATAACTTGTGTTCAAGTGTATGGATCTCTCTGAAATTGTACTGCAAGGTACCATATCACAAAAGGAAAGTTGGGTTTGAATTTGGGGGTAATTGCCCTAAACGTTTAGGAATTTGGGGCCAAAAAGGGGCCAAAAAACACATTTTTCTAGTTTCCAGACAATAACTTGTGTTCAAGTGTATGGATCTCTCTGAAATTGTACTGCAAGGTACCATACCACAAAGGGAAGGCTGGGATTGAGTTTGGGGGTGATTAATCATAACGGGGTTCAAAAAATATGGGGGGGGGGGATATTTTTTTTTTCATTTTTTTTCTTTTTTTCCTTTTTTTTTTCTTTTAAAATTTTCCATTTTAAGTTGGTTATTTCTGATTTATATTTAAAAGCAAATAATAATGATATGGTAGGAGATACACACCAAAGAGGATGTGTAAATTATTATATAATAAGTATTGTGCAATAGCAAGAAATTTTCAATTGCACAGTATATACGTATTGCACAATAGCAAGAAATCTTCAATTGCACAGTATTGCGCAATAGCAAGAAATCTTCAATTGCACAGTATTGCGCAATAGCAAGAAATATCCAATAGCACAATATTGCGCAATAGCAAGAAATTGTCAATTGTACAGTATTGCGCAATAGCAAGAAATATTTAATTGCACAGTATTGTGCAAAAGAAGATACTTTGTATAAATTGCTTATTTCTTGACCAATTTCAATGGGGTTTTATTCTTGAATTCTTGGGGTTCTTTAATATGCTGAATCTAACCGTGTATTTAGTTTTTGGATTTTGGGCCCCGATTTTAAATTGGTCCACATTGAGGTCCAAAGGGTCCAAAATTAAACTTTGTTTGATTTCATCAAAAATTGAATTATTGGGGTTCTTTGATATGCCGAATCTAACCGTGTATTTAGATTCTTAATTTTTGGTTCCGTTTTCAAATTGGTCTACATTAAGGTCCGAAGGGTCCAAAATTAAACTTAGTTTGATTTTAACAAAAATTGAATTTTTAGGGTTCTTTGATATGCTGAATCTAAATATGTATTTAGATTTTTGATTATGGGCCCAGTTTTCAAGTTGGTCCAAATCGGGGTCCAAAATTAAACTTTGTTTGATTTCAACAAAAATTGAATATATGGGGTTCTTTGATATGCTGAATCTAACCATGTGTTTAGATTTTTGATTTTTGGGCCCTGTTATCAAGTTTGTCCACATTGAGGTCAAAAGGGTCCAAAATTAAACTTTGTTTGATTTCATCAAAAATTGAATTCTTGGGGTTCTTTGATATGCTGAATCTAACCATATATTTAGATTTTGGATATTGGACCATAATAGGTGAATGTCCAATTTAAAATTTTTAAGTTCTTAGACCACATTCATTCTGTGTCAGAAACCTATGCTGTGTCAAATATTTAATCACAATCCAAATGCAAAGCTGTATCAAGCTTGAATGTTGTGTCCATACTTGCCCCAACTGTTCAGGGTTCGACCTCTGCGGTCGTATCAAGCTGCGCCCTGCGGAGCATTTTATTGGTTATTAGGCAGATTCCAAATAAGAAAGTTGAAAAATTCCCAAAATCATGTTTAACAAAATCAACACCAATAAGGTTCTGTTTTGGAATACATGTTAAACTTATATAAGTAAACACTTTTTGACAAAAAATAGATCTATTCACATTATATTTTTTAAATAAAGGACACCTTAAAAAAATGTTGCTATCATAACAAAATTGACAGACATTTTGACGAAAAATTCTTATGTTAGCAACACAAACAATCCTGATATCTTCAGTATTTTCAAGGTTTGGATGTATATCTTGCTTAAATATAAAAGGCAAATTGGAATAAAATATTTCTGAACATCTGCACCAATAAAAAAGGAATTGTAATAACTTTAAAAAAGGATTATCTTGGAGTTGCTAACATAAAATTTGACAGACATGAACAATGCTGCTTACATAAGATTTGACAGAAATGAAGTTGTTGCTAACATAAGATTTGACGGACTTTTTTGTTGCTAACATAATATTTGACGGACTTTTTTGTTGCTAACATAATATTTGACGGACTTTTTTGTTGCTAACATAAGATTTGACGGACATTATTGTTGCTAACATAAGATTTGACAGACTTAATAGTGTTGCTAACATAAGATATTGACGGACTTGTTGCTAACATAAGATTGTGCTAACATAAATAAATTTGACAGACAATATATATTTGAGATTTTTAACTAACATTGAAGATCTTATCCTAGTTGAAAGTCATATTTAGAACTCCTGCAAATAACGCTGCCTGACATTTAACAAGATTTCAACCCAGGACAGATAACTCTTAATTTGTAGCACATCCAAATGTTGCTAACATAAGATGACAAGTTTGACAGAACTTATGTTAGCAACATATTTGATAAAACTATTGATTGAATAAAGTAAATTGAAAGATCCAAAATGTGTTTGTTTAATGTACATTATGAAATACAATTTTAACAGGCTTATATAAGTACCTACACTGATGTGGCAAGATTTTATGAACATGTTGCTATCATAACATTTATTGACAGACGAGCATCTAATAAGCAAGGTATTTGAAATTGAACAAAATATATATAACACATGTAACAGATGTTTTTAACAAAAGAAAAGCAAAAGATTTGGAAACAGGGATGTTTGAATAATCAGACTATACTAATAAAAACCGTTATACCAGTGTCAATTTAAAGCATTGTAACACATAAACCTTGTGTCAAAAAATGGGAAGTAATTTCGATCAATCATTTCACATTTTTATACGACCGCAAAAATTAAAAATTTTTTGGTCGTATATTGGTATGACGTTGGCGTCGTCGTCGTCGTCGTCTGGCGTCGTCCGAAGACACATTGGTTTTCGCACTCTAACTTTAGTTTACGTGAATGGATCTCCATGAAATTTTACCATAAGGTTCAATACCACGAAAGGAAGGTTGGGATTGATTTTGGGGATTATGGTACCAACAGTTAAGGAATTAGGGGCCAAAAAGGGGCCAAAAATAAGCATTTTTGTAACTTCCAGACAATAACTTGTGTGTAAGTGTATGGATCTCTCTGACATTGTACCACAAGGTTCCATATCACAAAGAGAAGGCTGTAATTGATTTTGGGGGTAATTGCCTCAAAATTTTAGGAATTAGGGGCCAAAAAAGGGGCAAAAAACAAGCATTTTTCTAGTTTCATGACAATAACTTGTGTGTAAGTGTTTGGATATTTCTGAAATTGTACTACAAGGTTCCATATCACAGAGGGAAAGCTGGAATTGAGTTTGGGGTAATTGCCCGAAACGTTTAGGAATTGGGGGCCAAAAAGGGACCAAAAAGGGGCCAAAAATAAGCATTTTTCTAGTTTCCAGACAATAACTTGTGTTCAAGTGTATGGATCTCTCTGAAATTGTACTGCAAGGTACCATACCACAAAGGGAAGGCTGGGATTGAGTTTGGGGGTGATGAATCATAAGGGGGTTCATAAAATTTGGGGGGGGGGGATTTTTCTTTTTTTCCTTTTTTTTTTTCTTTTAAAATTTTCCATTTTAAGTTGGTTATTTCTGATTTATATTTAAAAGCATATAATACTGATATGGTAGGAGATACACACCAAACAGGATGTGTAAATTATTATATAATAAGTATTGTGCAATAGCAAGAAATTTTCAATTGCACAGTATTGCACAATAGCAAGAAATCTTCAATTGCACAGTATTGCGCAATAGCAAGAAATCTTCAATTGCACAGTATTGCGCAATAGCAAGAAATATCCAAATAGCACAATATTGCGCAATAGCAAGAAATTGTCAATTGTACAGTATTGCGCAATAGCAAGAAATATTCAATTGCACAGTATTGTGCAAAAGAAGATACTTCGTATAAATTGCTTATTTCTTGATCAATTTCAATGGGGTTTTATTCTTGAATTCTTGGGGTTCTTTAATATGCTGAATCTAACCGTGTATTAAGTTTTTGGAATTTGGGCCCCGTTTTTAAATTGGTCCACATTGAGGTCCAAAGGGTCCAAAATTTAACTTTGTTTGATTTCATCAAAAATTGAATTATTGGGGTTCCTTGATATGCCGTATCTAACCGTGTATTTAGATTCTTAATTTTTGGTTCCGTTTTCAAATTGGTCTACTTTAAGGTCCAAAGGGTCCAAAATTAAACTTAGTTTGATTTTAACAAAAATTGAATTTTTAGGGTTCTTTGTATGCTGAATCTAAACATGTATTTAGATTTTTGATTATGGGCCCAGTTTTCAAGTTGGTCCAAATCTGGTCCAAAATTAAACTTTGTTTGATTTCAACAAAAATTGAATATATGGGGTTCTTTGATATGCTGAATCTAACCATGTATTTAGATTTTTGATTTTTGGGCCCCGTTATCAACTTTGTCCACATTGAGGTCAAAAGGGTCCAAAATTAAACTTTGTTTGATTTCATCAAAAATTGAATTCTTGGGGTTCTTTGATATGCTGAATCTAACCATGTATTTAGATTTTGGATATTGGACCATAATAGGTGAATGTCCAATTTAAAATTTTTAAGTTCTTAGACCACATTCATTCTGTGTCAGAAACCTATGCTGTGTCAAATATTTAATCACAATCCAAATTCAGAGCTGTATCAAGCTTGAATGTTGTGTCCATACTTGCCCCAACTGTTCAGGGTTTGACCTCTGCGGTCGTATCAAGCTGCGCCCTGCGGAGCATTTTATTCAACTTGTTTTAATGATTTCAACTTTAAATGGAAACAATCATATCCAATAATTGGTTTTCTTGCTTTATTTAACATTACTATTCAATAAAACATTCACATATTATCATGATTATCATTCAAATAACAGTTAGTATTATTTTTATTAATTTGTTCTTTTTGATGGAAATTTTCTTTTCTTTATGGAATCTGCCATTATCATGATTATCTCAAAATAACTGTAAAAGAGGGGCGAAAGATACCAGAGGGACATTCAAACTCATAAATCGAAATTAAACTGACAACGCCATGGCAAAAAAAAGAAAAAGACAAACAGACAAAACATAGTACACAAAACACAACATATAAAAATAAAGACTAAGCAACACGAACCCCACCAAAAACTGGGTGTGATATCAGGTGCTCCAGAAGAGTAATCAGATCCTGCTCCACATGTGGCACCTGTCGTGTTGCTCATGTTAGTACAAACCCGGTAATAAGTTTAATTTGGTAGGTCACATGTGTGAAAAGGCAACAGGATTGTAGTTACTACATAAGGAAAATATCCGCTATCATCTGGGAAACGGATATTCCATAATGGTCAACCATCTCATGATGGCATCTGTAAAATTAACAAAGGGATGATTTCAACTTCACCATTTGGAACTCTTGGTTTAAGAGCTTCCTTGTGAGCGGCAACCTTCTATCAAGGAAATCATGATAGGAAATACAAGCCCGGAAATATTGTATCAATTGGGAGATATATATATTTATACTGCGTATGCAGGCGCTGCTGGAATGTACATTTTGCTACATAGAAATGGAAAGTTCGCAATTTGAAAGCTGAAATCATCTCTTTTGTCGTAAAGTTTTATTTTCAACTGACCCTTATTGTCAATTTCTAGATGTAAGTCAAGATATGAGGCAGACTTAACTGTATCTGTTGTATTCTTTATCTCTAGTTCGATGGGATAGATGTGTTCAACATAGTCACCAAATTTTGAATTATTTAGTGAGAGAACATCATCTATATTATAAGCGGAAAGTAAAGTTAAAGGATACTGCTAACTTCTTTTCTTTCTTCTTAAGAAGTTCCTGTATGAGGTCAGCCTCATAAGAATAAAGGAACAAGTCGGCAAGAAGAGGGGCACAGTTGGTTCTCATGGGAATGCAGATAGTTTGTTGAAAAAAAAGTCTTCCAAACGTAACAAATTTGTTGTCAATCATCAAGAAATCAAGCATCTTGATAATGTCAGTTCAGAGAATTTTTTGTTTGAATCTGAGTGATTTTTTACAAAGTAGGATTTATCCCTCCCTAAGACAAGATACTTGTATCTACGTTGGCCATTCTTTTTTATGAAACAAATTAAAAGCAATACCAACTCTTTCAGTTTGTCTTTTAGTTTAGAATGGGGAATGCTTGTGTAAAGTGTAGAAAAGTCAAATGTTTTAATACTATTGCAAGATGAAAGAGTCTTAGATTGTATGTACTCTAAAAGATCTTTGGAATTTTTTAGTATCCACATTTGATTCACGCCACCTCTAGAATAGGCAGTTTTACAATAACTTGGAAGACCCAGCAATATACCGTTGTTTGTAGGGACATGTGTGTAGTTTAGGTATCCAATACAGTGATGGAAGATCCAGTTCTTCATCTTTGGTTGAAATTCCAAAGGAACATAGAACAGACCTATGATTATCCAGGATTTCATCTTTTGTAAGTGTTGTGGGGGTATATGTTGAGTTTCCAAGTGAACTGTCAATACCTAATTCATTTATCAAGCAGTTTATGTAATGTGATTTACACACAAAAACGATGTTGTTTGGGGCTTTATCTGCAGGGACAACAACATATTTGTCATGGAAGTAGGACAAGTGTTTGTAATAGATAGAAAAAAACTTTCAAATGCAAAAATACAGACTTTTTTTCTAAATGCTTTCAGATATTGGGCTGAGTTTTGGAATTTGAGTTAACCATGATGAGTTACAGATCAAGTTTATGTTTGACAAAATGTGAAACAATTCAAAGTCAAACAAAAGAACAACAGTCAAATTCACATTAAAATAATAAACAACAAATATATATAAACACAGAGACAATGACAAACCCTGGCATGGGACAGGCACATAATATATGTGACGGGTTAAACATGTTCATTATGTATGTGAGCACTCAACTCTAAAAAACCTTGGACAGAGTCATAACAACACAACCATGACAACATTCTAACAAACAATATAACTTAGTTGAAAACTCAATAGGTCCATGCAAACACAAAATAACAAAATGACAAAAAAACATAGCATTTTCCTTTGTAAACTTGCTGTGCTAGCATATTTCCTCAGTTGACTTCATGAATACCACGAATACAAGATTTTATATTTTAGGTGTACGCTTGGTAATGCTAAAGGTGAGCCATCTATTTGGGAAAATTTTAGAGGTTTACAATGTGCAATTTCAAATCCTGATATACGATTGATGAAAAGAGGTCTACCAGAAGAATTCTGTTCCAGTTGTGAGGAAACAGAATGGCCAGTTGTTTCTATTGTGGAGGTACAAAAATGAATAAGATCAGAAAAATTGTTAAGTATTCATTAAGTGGCTATAAAACATGAAAACCTGGTTTAATCCACCATTTTCTACACAAGAAAATGCCTGTGCCAAGTCAGGAATATGACAGTTGTTATCCATTCATTTGATGTGTTTGAGCTTTTGATTTTGCCATTTACTTAGGGACTTTCTTTTTAGAATTTTCCTCGGAGTTCTGTATTTTTGTTATTTTACTTTTTAGCTCACCCGGCCCGAAGGGCCCCATGTGAGCTTATGCCATCACTTTGCGTCTGTCGTCGATGTCTGTTGTAGTCTGTCGTCGTAAACTATTTAAAAAATCTTCACCTCTGAAACTACTGGGCCAAATACCTTCAAACTTTAAATGAATGTTTCTTAGGGTATCTAGTTTATAAATTGTATCAGAAATTTTGATCCATCAACAAACATGGCGGCCATGACTAAAAATAGAACATAGGGGTCAAATGCAGTTTTTAGCTTATATCTCAAAAAGTAAAGCATTTAGAGCAAATCTGACATGGGGGTAAAATTGTTCAATTGGTCAAGGTCTATCAGCCCTGAAATTTTCAGACGAATCGAACAACCCATTGTTGGGTTGCTGCAACTAAATTGGTAGTTTTAAGGAAATTTTGCAGTTTTTTGTTACTATCTTGAATATTATTATAGATAGATATGAACTGTAAACAGCAATAATGTTCAGCAAAGTAAGATCTACAAAAAACTTAATAAGTCCATAATTGTCAATTGACTCCCTAAGGAGTTGTTGCCCTTTAAAGACAATTTTACACAATTTGTTCATCAAGTTTGCTAACATTTAAAAATCTTCTCCTCTGAAACTACTGGGCCAATTACATTCAAACTTTAACTAAATGTTCCTTAGGGTATCTTGTTTATAAATTGTATCCGAAGTTTGTATCCATCGACAAACATGGCCGCCATGGCTAAAAATAGAACATAAGGGTCAAATGCAGTTTTTGGCTTACATCTCAAAAACTAAATCTTTTAGAGCAAATGTGACAGGGGTAAAATTGTTTAATTGGTCAAGATCTATCGGCCCTGAAATTTTCAGACGAATTGAACAATCCATTGTTGGGTTGCTGCCACCGAATTTGTAGTTTTAATAAAATTTTGCAGTTTTTTGTTATTATTAGCTCACCTGGCCCAAAAGGCCAAGTGAGCTTTTCTCATCACTTGGCGTCTGTAGTCCGTCGCCGTCGTCTGTTAACTTTTACAAAAATCTTCTCCTCTGAAACTACTTGGCTAAATTTAACCAAACTTGGCCACAATCATCATTGGGGTATCTAGTTTTAAAAATGTGTCCGGTGACCCGGCCAACCAACCAAGATGGCCGCCATGGCTAAAAATAGAACATAGGGGTAAAATGTAGATTTTGGCTTATATTTCTGAAACCAAAGCATTTAGAGCAAATCTGACATAGGGTAAAATTTATTATCAGGTCAAGATCTATCTGCCCTGAAATTTTCAGATGAATCGGACAACCCGTTGTTGGGTTGCTGCCCCTGAATTGGTAATTTTAAGGAAATTTTGCCGTTTTTGGTTATTATCTTGAATATTATTATAAATAGAGATAAACTGTAAACAGCAATAATGTTCAGCAAAGTAAGATCTACTAATAAGTCAACTTGACCAAAATGGTCAGTTGACCCCTTAAGGAGTAATTGCCCTTTATAGTCAATTTTTAACCATTTTTCGTAAATTTTTGTAATCTTTTACAAAAATCTTGTTCTCTGAAACTACTAAGACAATTTAACCAAACTTGTCCACAATCATCATTAGGGTATCTAGATTAAAAAAAATGGGTCCGATGACCCCGCCCATGAAACAAGATGGCCGACATGGCTAAAAAATAGTACATAGGGAAAAAGGCAGTTTTTGGCTCATATCTCTGAAACCAAAACCTTAAGAGCAAATCTGACAGGGATTAAATTGTTCATTAGGTCAAGATCTATCTGCTCTGAAATTTTCAGACCAATCAGGCAACACGTTGTTGGGTTGCTGCCCCTGAATTGGTAATTTTATGGAAATTTTGCAGTTTTTGGAAATTATCTTGAATATTATTACAGATAGAGATAAACTGAAAACAGCAATAATGGTCAGCAAAGTAAGATCTACAAATACAAAGACCAACATTGTCAATTGACCCCTTAAGGAGTTATTGCCCTTTATAGTTAATTTTTATACGACCGCAAAAAAATTTTTTGGTCGTATATTGGTATGACGTCGGCGTCGTCGTCGTCCGGCGTCGTCCGAAGACACTTGGTTTTCGCACTCTAACTTTAGTTTAAGTGAATGGATCTTTATGAAATTTAACCACAAGGTTCAATACCACAAAAGGAAGGTTGGGATTGATTTTGGGGGTTATGGTAATAACAGTAAAGGAATTAGGGGCCAAAAAGGGGCCAAAAATAAGCATTTTTGTAACTTCCAGACATAACTTGTGTGTTAGTGTATGGATCTCTCTGACATTGTACCACAAGGTTCCATATCACTAAAGGAATGCTGGGATTGATTTTGGGGGTAATTGCCTCCAAATTTTAGGAATTAGGGGCCAAAAAAGGGGCAAAAAACAAGCATTTTTCTAGTTTCATGACAATAACTTGTGTGTAAGTGTATGGATCTTTCTGAAATTGTACTACAAGGTTCCATATCACAAAGGGAAAGCTGGGTTTGAGTTTGGGGGTAATTGCCCTAAACGTTTAGGAATTTGGGGCCAAAAAGGGGCCAAAAAACACATTTTTTTCTAGTTTCCAGACAATAACTTGTGTTCAAGTGTATGGATCTCTCTGAAATTGTACTGCAAGGTACCATACCACAAAGGGAAGGCTGGGATTGAGTTTGGGGGTGATGAATCGTAATGGGGGTTCAAAAAATTTTGGGGGGGGATTTATTTTTTTTTTCCTTTTTTTCTTTTTTTCCTTTTTTGTTTCTTTTAAAATTTTCCATTTTAAGTTGGTTATTTCTGATTTATATTTAAAATCAAATAATAATGATATGGTAGGAGATACACACCAAACAGGATGTGTAAATTATTATATAATAAGTATTGTGCAATAGCAAGAAATTTTCAATTGCACAGTATTGCACAATAGCAAGAAATCTTCAATTGCACAGTATTGCGCAATAGCAAGAAATCTTCAATTGCACAGTATTGCGCAATAGCAAAAAATATCCAATAGCACAATATTGCGCAATAGCAAGAAATTGTCAATTGTACAGTATTGTGCAATAGCAAGAAATATTTAATAGCACAGGATTGTGCAAAAGAAGATACTTCCTATAAATTGCTTATTTCTTGACCAATTTCAATGGGGTTTTATTCTTGATTTCATGGGGTTCTTTAATATGCTGAATCTAACCGTGTATTTAGTTTTTGGATTTTGGGCCCCGTTTTTAAATTGGTCCACATTGAGGTCCAAAGGGTCCAAAATTAAACTTTGTTTGATTTCATCAAAAATTGAATTATTGGGGTTCTTTGATATGCCGAATCTAACTGTGTATTTAGATTCTTAAATTTTGGTTCCGTTTTCAAATTGGTCTACATTAAGGTCCAAAGGGTCCAAAATTAAACTTAGTTTGATTTTAACAAAAATTGAATTCTTAGGGTTCTTTGATATGCTGAATCTAAACATGTATTTAGATTTTTGATTATGGGCCCAGTTTTCAAGTTGGTCCAAATCGGGGTCCAAAATTAAACTTTGTTTGATTTCAACAAAAATTGAATATATGGGGTTCTTTGATATGCTGAATCTAACCATGTATTTAGATTTTTGATTTTTGGGCCCCGTTATCAACTTTGTCCACATTGAGGTCAAAAGGGTCCAAAATTAAACTTTGTTTGATTTCATCAAAAATTGAATTCTTGGGGTTCTTTGATATGCCGAATCTAACCGTGTATTTAGATTCTTAATTTTTGGTTCCGTTTTCAAATTGGTCTACATTAAGGTCCAAAGGGTCCAAAATTAAACTTAGTTTGATTTTAACAAAAATTGAATTCTTAGGGTTCTTTGATATGCTGAATCTAAACATGTATTTAGATTTTTGATTATGGGCCCAGTTTTCAAGTTGGTCCAAATCGGGGTCCAAAATTAAACTTTGTTTGATTTCAACAAAAATTGAATATATGGGGTTCTTTGATATGCTGAATCTAACCATGTATTTAGATTTTTGATTTTTGGGCCCCGTTATCAACTTTGTCCACATTGAGGTCAAAAGGGTCCAAAATTAAACTTTGTTTGATTTCATCAAAAATTGAATTCTTGGGGTTCTTTGATATGCTGAATCTAACCATGTATTTAGATTTTGGATATTGGACCATAATAGGTGAATGTCCAATTTAAAATTTTTAAGTTCTTAGACCACATTCAATCTGTGTTAGAAACCTATGCTGTGTCAAATATTTAATCACAATCCAAATCCAAAGCTGTATCAAGCTTGAATGTTGTGTCCATACTTCCCCCAACTGTTCAGGGTTCGACCTCTGCGGTCGTATCAAGCTGCGCCCTGCGGAGCATTTTATTTACAATTTTCGTAAATTTTTGTAATCTTTTACAAAAATCTTTTCCTCTGAAACTACTGGGCCAAATAGAATCAAACTTAGCCACAACCATCATTAGGGTATTCAGTTTAAAAAAGGTGTCAGATGACCCTGCCTGCCAACAAAGATGGCCGACATGGCAAAAAATAGAACATATGGGGTAAAATGCAAGTTTTGTCTATTATTCTGATAACCGTTATAAAAAGAGGAAATCTGAAGAGGGTAAAATTGTTCAGAATGTTGAGCTCAACCAATTATCCATATACGTCAAAACTGTTAGACAATTTCCTGTAGGAGTTATTGCCCTTAAATGACAAATTTTACCACTTTTTTTTGATTTTTGCCTATTATCATATCTTGAAAACTATAAAAGATAGAGAGAAACTTTAAATTGCAAAAATGATCAGATGGACAAGTTCTTCAAATAAGTTGAAATCATCAGTTGACTCCTTATTAGAGTTATTTCCCTTTGATGCCGATTTGTACATTTTTTTTTGCGTTTTTGTCTTATATCTTAAAACTTATAATAGATAGAAAGAAACTTAAATATACAAAAATGATCATCAGCAAGAAGAAAGAAACTTAAATATACAAAAATGATCATCAGCAAGACAAAATCTACAATTAAGACAAATGGCAGAAATTGTCCAACGACTCCTTATTGGAGTAATTGCCCTTTAATTATGATTTTTACCATTTTTGGGGCGTTTTTCCTTGTATGATATTATTTATAATAGATAGATAGAAACTTAAATAATAAAAAATGATAAGCAAGACGAGACCTACTAACAAGTCAAATTTTGCTGATATAATAAGTAGACTGTTACTCTTTATAGGAGTTTTTTTGCCCTCTTTTGTGTTTAGAGCAAAAGCTAAATAAGATCATGAAAATAGAGAGAAACTAAACAGACTTCAATGATCAGCAATAGAAGATACAAAAAAAAAACAGAGATTTTTGTCATTAATTCTATTCTCGTCTACAATGTTGGAGAGTGTCCCCTGTTGAATATGCATATAGACCAAGGTGAGCGACACAGGCTCTTGAGAGCCTCTAGTTTCTTCGTGTTTGGAAATATTGATTAGATATTTGGTGTATTGTTTTATCATGACAAGTTACAGATCAGGTTTGAATTTTGTTCCGGTCTGATGATTTTGTGCAGAGTTATGGTCCTTGGACTTAGAAAATTGACTTAAATAATCAAGTTTTCAACACTTTTTTTCCTCATGCTTGAAGATATTGACGTTATTTGTTATATAGTGACACCATGAAAAGTTATAGATCAAGTTAGTATTTTGTTCCTATACAATGAATTTTTAACCGGTAGGGGACTATGTATTGCCATGCAATACTCTCAGAATGCTTGTTATAAATTTCAGATTTACCATTTCCGAGTTTTGGGGTTTTATTCATTAAAAAAGGGGGGATTTTCCAGTTTTCGGACAATAACTCAAAAACAATTTCACCAATTTGCATGAAACTTTTGTGAATTGTTCATATCTATTGACGTGAGTTCCCTTTCGTTTTTTTTATAAATTTCGGATTTACCGTTTCCGAGTTTTGGGGTTTTATTCATTAAAAAGGGGGGATTTTCCAGTTTTCGGACAATAACTCAAAAAAAATTTCACCAATATGCATGCAACTTTTTTGAATTGTTTATTTCTATTGATATGAGCTCCCTTTGGATTTTTATAAATTTCAGACTATACGTTTCCGATTTATGGGGTTTTATTCATTACAAAAAGGGGGATTTTCCAGTTTTCGGACAATAACTCAAAAATGCTTTCAGCATTTTTTATGAAACTTTGGTAAATTGTTTATATCTATTTTTGTAAGCTCCCTTTTGATTTTTATAAATTTTCGATTTTACGTTTCCGAGTTATAAGATTTTATTTGTTTATTGTCTGACAACAGATTTATTAAGTATTGCGCAACAGCACAGTGTATTGCACAACAGCAAGAAATCTTTCATATACTCAATTTCAAGTTCTATGACTACATTTATTCAGAAACCTATAATATATCAAATATTTAATTACAATCCAAATTCAGACCTGTATCAAGCTTGAATATTGTGTCCATATTTGCCCCAACTGTTCAGGGTTGGACCTCTGCAGGCGTATCCAGCTGTGCTCAGCGAAGCATATTATTGGGAAAAATCTGAAAAAGGAAGTGGAATTTGACACAGATTTTAAGTGACTTGTACCCATATTAAAAATTTTTGACCGATTTTTCTTACAATAATTCAGGACTTCTATGAATTTAGCTACAGCTTGGGCTAAGATTTCTATGTACTGTGGGCAATCATTGGCTCAATTTTCTTGTTTTGACTATCTTTTAAGCAAATATATAACAAACAAATAATTTCTTCTTTTAGGTAAAAATGCCTTCAGATTTGAAGTTTATGAATGAATCAGGAAGGGATTCAGTCGATGAACTTGCTAGGAGAATGGAGTTTACAAAACTGAAACCATCTGCAGGAAATAGTTCATCTTCAGAATCAACATCCTCAGACAATTTGTCCGCTGATCTCTCAAGAGTTTGTAGAAAGAAGAAAAGTTCTTCAAATGTGACCATCAGCTCACGATTCCTACCTATATACAATAGTAATAAGGTTTTTGGCCAGCATGCAGGAGAATTGCTATTTGACCTGAACAGATGTTTAAAAGACTCAAATGCAAAAGTTGGAAGAATGCCTGGCATGATAATTGATGGTGTAAAGGTGAAATTTTTAAGAAATGAAATTTGAAAAGCTTTTTACTTCGAAACAAAACAAATATGATTAAGTTTGTAGATTATCCTCCCTTATCCAGTGAGACCACCCGTTAAAATAAGCAGACATTTTTTAGCTCACATGGCCCAATGGTCCAAGTGAGCATTTCTCATTACTTGTCGTCCTCCGTAGTCAGTTAACTTTTACAAAAAACTTCTCCTCTGAAACAACTGGGCCAAATTTAACCAAACTTGGCCACAATTATCATTAGGGTATCTTATTTAAAAAATGTGTCCGATAACCCCACCTGCCAACCAACATGGCTGACATGGCTAGAAATAGAACATATGGTGGGGCATTTAGGGCAAATCTGACGATAGATAAAAATGTTCATCAGGTTAAGATCTATCTGTCTTGAAATTTTCAGACGAGTCAGACAACCTGTTGTTGGGTTGCTACCCCTGAATTGGTAATTTTAAGGAAATTTTGCAGGTTTTGGTTATTATCTTTAATATTATTATCAATAGAGATAAACTGTAAACAACAATTATTTTCAGCAAAGTAATTTCTACAAATAAGTCAACATGACCAAAATTGTCAATGGACCCCTTTAGGAGTTATTTCCCTTTAAAGGTAATTTTTAATAATTTTTTGTAAATTTTGTAATCTTTTTCAAAAAATCTTCTCCTGAAACTACTGAGACAAATTTAACCAAATTTGGCCACAATTTGGCCACAATCATTATAAGGGTATTTAATACTATGTATTATGATTTAAACCTTATTTTACATGATTTCCAAAACCATAGTATATACAGGTGATCGACACAGGCTCTTGAGAGCCTCTAGTTTAGCTAGCTTAGTCAACATTCTAGATACATCATTCTTCAAAATAATTGAACCAAACTTGTTACATGGTTAGCCCTTGTCAAGATCAAGTAGCTTATTGACTTTCAAGGTCAAAGGTCATGGTCATGGTTGAACATAGAAATTTTTTTCTGAAGAACACACTAGAGAAAGCATCCTTCAATAGATTTGAACCAAACTTGGTGTGTGATTAGCCCGTCATGATCTGGAAGACTATTGATTTTCATCAAAGGTCAAGGTCATGGTGGAACATAGAATTTTTTTGTTGTGAACACACTAAACTACATCCTTCAGTTATTTTAATCAAACTTGGTACATGGTTAGCCCGAGTCAAGATATAGAAGCCCATTAATATTGATATTCAAGTTCATAGGTCAAAGGTCAAGATCATGGTGGAACATAGAGATTTTTTGTTGTGAACAAACTAGAGACAGGGCAAAGAGATATGCTACCCTCTGCATTGCCCTTGTTACATTATCTTAACCACTTCAGTTTTGTGTTCAGTAATTCAAAATTTCAAATGTACTGTTATGACTGTATGAACAGATCAAGAAATAAATTTAGTTACATGCTGCTATTGCAAAAAAAAGTGAACAAATTTAATAATACAATTTCCAGAAAGGTAAGATTTTCATCACCAGCTAGCTTTTGAAGCTTCAAGAAAAAAATTCATTTCATACATTTTAACAGCATTTCCATTTCCACACTAAGGTAACTTGCAAATGTACAGATATGCACTAAAATCCAATAATTTAGTAAGTATTGCATATACACAATCGAGTGACCCCAAGATATTTCATTTGACACCCAACATTTTTGCTCAAACTGCAGTCCCGGTGGTCTTTATTGACCCTCAAAATTCAAATACATGTTGCTCTAAAACACTAAAAGATTTCCTTAAAATGTTAGATGACCAATTTAGGCTCCTTGGAGCCTGTAGTTGACAAAAAAAAACTGCACTGCATAATAATGCTGTTTTATATAGTTATAAAATTTAAGTTATATATGATTATTTTATAGGTCATCTTTACCTTATTAGAAATAAGAGTTTCACATCTGGAGAAGCTGAGGAAGAACCAAAAGCTAAATGATGATGATAAAGCATTAATTTACTATTCCATTCCATATGACGTCTTCAATCAAACAGATCGAAACATTGTGATGGAATATTTCATTAAACTCAATAATGTGAAGAGTTATGGTTATAATGAATTGGAAGTAACCCCATCAGCATCTGAGGATTCAGCTTACTCATCTGATGTAGATCATGCAAAGTCTGTTGATTCTTAAACTTCCCACGAGTAAGAAATATGTATATACAGTGTAAAAATAATCTTATTTTTATCTTTAAAATCATCTACAGCAAATTGGATATATAGCAATTATTAGGTTTATATAACCAATTATTGCAAACTCAATAACCATGAATTCAAATACCCACAAACCAATGAATTTTCCACAAACCATGAAAATTAAAACTAACGAATAAAGGTATACTTTCACAGTACATCTAATATTATTAGACTTTACTATAGCAGCTGAGTAAAAAATAACTGTTTTTTTTTTCAGTTGTTGGTTAATATCCCTTACTTTTTATACGACCGCAAAAAAATTTTTGTGGTCGTATATTGGTATGACGTTGGCGTCGTCGTTGTCATCGTCGTGGTCGTCGTCCGAAGACACATTGGTTTTCGCACTCTAACTTTAGTTTAAGTGAATGGATCTCTATGAAAATTTTACCACAAGGTTCAATACCACAAAAGAAAGGTTGGGATTGATTTTGGGGGTTATGGTACCAACAGTTAAGGAATTAGGGGCCAAAAAGGGGCCAAAAATAAGCATTTTTGTAACTTCCAGACAGAACTTGTGTGTTAGTGTATGGATCTTTCTGAAATTGTACTACAAGGTTCCATATCACAAAGGGAAAGCTGGAATTGAGTTTGGGGGTAATTGCCCAAAACGTTTAGGAATAAGGGGCCAAAAGGGGGCCAAAAATTAGCATTTTTTTAAATTTCCAGACAATAACTTGTGTTCAAGTGTATGGATCTCTCTGAAATTGTACTGCAAGGTACCATACCACAAAGGGAAGGCTGGGATTGATTTTGGGGGTAATTGCCTCAAAATTGTAGGAATTAGGGGCAAAAAAGGGGCAAAAAAACAAGCATTTTTCTAGTTTCAGGACAATAACTTGTGTGTAAGTGTATGGATTTTTATGAAATTGTACTACAAGGTTCCATATCATAAAGGCAAAGCTTGGTTTGAGTTTGGGGATAATTGCCCTAAACGTTTAGGAATTTGGGGCCAAAAAGGGGCCAAAAAACAAGCATTTTTCTAGTTTCCAGACAATAACTTGTGTTCAAGTGTATGGATCTCTCTGAAATTGTACTGCAAGGTACCATACATTGTAACACAAAGGGAAGGCTGGGATTGAGTTTGGGGGTGATGAATCATAAGGGGGTTCAAAACATTTGAGGGGGGATTTTTTTCCCCTTTTTTTTCTTTAAAATTTTCCATTTTAAATTGGTTATTTCTGATTTTTATATAAAAGCAAATAATAATGATATGGTTTGAATAGGTAAATTCAAAATTATTAAGTTCTTAGACCACATTCATTCTGTGTCAGAAACAATCCAAATTCAGTGCTGTATCAAGCTTGAATGTTGTGTCCATACTTGCCCCAACTGTTCAGGGTTCGACCTCTGCGGTTGTATCAAGCTGCGCCCAGCGGAGCATTTTATTATGCATTGTCTTATTGAATTATTAATCGACTACATATTTTGGCTGTATTGTCAGTAAATGTTGTCTTTGAAATATTAACATTGTTAACGTGTTTATTTCATCATGGATATTTGTATGGACATAATGCAGTTGTACATTTGTAATAGGATTGGCAAGTATCTTTTCAGATTTTTAGACACAATTTTTATGCCCCTGCGGTGGCGGAGGGGGCATTAAGTTTTACCCTTGTCCGTCTGTACGTTCGTATGTACGTACGTCCGTCTGTACGCAAGTCCCAAAGTTGGTTTCCGTTCTCTAACTTTAGTTTGCCTCAACCAAATGTTACGAAACTTATACACAATGCTTATTACCACATAACACAGATCAAGTTTGAATTTTGGTGGTGTCACTTTAACCGTTCTAGAGTTATGCCTGTTTACAAATGGAAAAGTTGCTGAATTTTTCGTTTCCGTTCTCTAACTTAAGTTAGCCTCAACCAAATGTTATGAAACTTATACACAATAATAACTACCACAAAACTCAGATCAAGTACAAATTTGGGTAGTGTCACTTTTACTGTTCTTCAGTTTAGTCCCTTTATAACTTTATATGATATGCAAGCCGGGGCATCATCTGTGTTCCCATTTATTTATTTATTAAATGATATTCAGAATGTCCTCACTATTATTTCAAAGTATTTCTAGTTTTCTACTGCGAAGGCATCCTTTGTGTCTTACAGACTCAGATTTGTTGGTGTGACTTCACCAAAAAGAGATTAATATTTTTGTACTGTTTGAATAATGGGACATGGGGCATATTCTTTTATCAGATTTATTTCTTACTCTTTTTTTATGCCCCCGCCGTAGCGGAGGGGGCATTAAGTTTTACCCTTGTTCATCTGTACGTCCGTCCGTCCGTACATCCCAAAGTTGGTTTCCGTTCTCTAACTTTAGTTTGCCTCAACCAAATGTTATGAAACTTATATACACAGTGCTTATTACCACAATACACAGATCAAGTTTGAATTTTGGTGGCGTCACTTTAACTGTTCCAGAGTTATGCCCTTTGCAAATGGAAAAATTTCTGAATTTTTCGTTTCCGTTCTCTTACTTTAGTTTGCCTCAACCAAATGTTATGAAACTTATACACAATTCTTATTACCACAAAATACAGATCAAGTTTGAATTTTGGTGGTGTCTATTTACACTTTCTAGAGTTATGCCCCTTTACAAATGGAAAAATTGCTGAATTTTTTGTTTCCGTTCTCTTACTTAAGTTTGCATCAACCAAATGTTATGAAACTTATACACAATGCTTATTACCACAAAATACAGATCAAGTTTGAATTTTGGTGGCGTCACTAACCGTTCTAGAGTTATGCCCCTTTATAAATGGAAAAATTGCAAAATTTTTATTTTCTTCTAAATATCAAGTAATTTTTAAAATTGGAGTTATCTTCCTTTGTCCATGATTATAGTTGAATCAACTACAATCAATGCTTTATACAATACAATGTTTAATTTTGACTTCCACTGATAAAACACAGATCAAGTTGAATTTGGGTAGTGTCACTTTAACCATTATTGAGTTATGCCCCTTTATAAATCGAAAGATTGCAAATTTTTTAGTTTCCATTCTGTAACTTAAGTTTGCCCCAACCAAACATTATGAAACCTATACACAATATTCATTACCACAAAACTAAGATCAAGTATAAATTTTTTGTTTCCGTTTTCAAACTTTAGTTTGCCTCAACCAAATGTTATGAAACTTATACACAATGCCTATTACTACATAATACAGATCAAGTACAAAATTTGGTGGCGACACTTTTACCATTCTTGAGTTATGTCCCTTCATAAACATAAAAATTGCTGAATTTTTTAGTTTGTCTCAACCAAATGTTATAAAACTTATACACAACCGTTCTAGAGTTATGCGTGTTTACAAATAGAAAAATTGCTGAATTTTTAGTTTCTGTTCTCTACTTTAGTTAGCCTCAACCAAATGTTATGAGACTTACACACAATGCTTATTACCACAAAACTCAGATCAAGTTCAAATTTGGGTAGCGTCACTTTTACCTTTCTTCAGTTATGTCCCTTTATAACTATATGATATGCAAGCAGGGGCATCATCTGTGTCCACATTTATTTTTCTATAGATTCCTTATGAAATGTTTATCATTGGGTTTTTTTATCAAATTTGTGCTAGATCTTACAGTTTCTGAGCTATAATGGGGCTATTTCTTTATTGCTCATATAATCTTTCTTTTCATCCTTTTTTGCTTCTGATTTACATCATGTTTCTTATAAAATTCAGAATCCATAATGTTGCTACAGATTTAGCACTTAGCATAGCATTTTATATTAATTATTTAAATATTGAGCTATAGCTCTCAACTCTATGTTTTTTAATATTTTGAGATTTTTAGCATAATTTTATTTTTGTAACATACATTATAAGTAATTATTCATGCTCTTATGGGACATCTGTATATTCTGATAATTAAATGGCATGCTATAGGTGTTTCAAGATTGTGATAGAGTTAATTAGATGAATTATAAAGCAGTTTTGATTTAAACTGCAAAATAGGTATATATTGTAAATACATGCAAGTAGTATTTGTTATTTTGTACCAGTTTTTATACTTTACTAACATAATTAATTACACTTCTTCTACTGTAGAGTACACTATTTATTTAACAACCAGATGTTATAAAAATTGTAATTATATTCTGATGAGGATTACTTAACAGTTTATATAGAGTTTGAATTTATATTTATATTTAATTGGCAAAAAAAAACTCAATTTGTTTATTTAACACAAGTTTTCAAATGATGATGAATGTATTTACCGTAAATTGGGAAATTTTAGCGTCAGGTTATTTTGGTGGTTTTCTCTCGAAAGGTATGTGTTTTATTTTGGTGTGTGTAATTTTGGTGCTTCTTCCAATTAATATGTTTAATTTTGGAGCAACAGTAGTGAGCAGGCTCATTCAAATTTGCCTGTATTTACCCGTTTATTGACAAAATATCATTGAATTTCTCAAACTAGAAACACGACAAAGTTAACTTAATGAACGAATCGGATGCAATTGCAAATAATTCCGTATATCTTGGTTCAAAGCTGAAAGAAAATATGAAATAAAGTCTTATACATTAAAATCACTTTTTAAATAGATTATTTTTTTTTTATAAATATCATATGAAATAAATTTTAATCATCTCTATTGTAGTACATGAAAATTTATTGACGATCAAGGATTTAAATTTTAATCAGTATGCCTCTGGCAGTAAATGTTAATTAATTGAAGATAAAGGATTACAAGGAGTTTTGATTCTAATTATCAATAACAGGGTCTAATCAGCAATAGCCTGGCATATCTATGACATGTGTGAATAAAAATTCATATTGTGTTTTCTTAATAATTTCAGAAAATTGACAATTAAGTAAAAATTATATTGTGTCGTTGTCAAATTATATCAGGTATTTACTTGCAGAGTTGGCTATGTATAGAATTGTTGGAAATATACGGAAGATATAATAACATAAAATAGTTTCCTAACAATTAACATTACGATATTGTCGTACCGGTACACGATTTTGGTGTTTCAATTTGTAGTGTTTGCTTTATTTTCGTGTGTTTAATTTTGGCACTTTCATTGGAGGCACCAAATAAACCAAAATAAAACTACAACCAAAATAACCCAATTTACCGTATATGATACATGATTGATACATTTATATATTTGATTTTATAGTTTTGTTATTACATATTGCTTTTCCATGTATGTGATGGCCAGTATAATGTAGACATAATTAATCAGTTCTTTGAAAAGGGGAAATTCATCTAACAAAAATGAATTGATATATATTTATTTCGGTTCAGAAACCTATATTATGTCAAAAATTTGATCACAATCCAAATTCAGCCAGTATCAAGCTTGAATATTGTATCCAAATTTGCCCCAACTGTTCAGGATTCGACCTCTGCGGTCGTATCAAGCTGCTGATTCAATAATCATTTATATCTAGATCTTTGAATCAGTGTTACGTTAACATGTATTCATATGAAAGATACCAGCTAGTTCCCCCAATCTAGCAAGATGAATAACCAGGTCAGGAATGAGCAAAGTACTGGCCTTGGTCATACGTGGTGGATGACCCAGGCATGCTGTTATATTATGTATCATGAACTTATGTGATTATTGTGATTGCTGAATTATACTGAATGCTGATTTAATAAACATTTATATCTAGAACTTTGAATGGGTGTTACGTTAACATGTATTCATATGAAAGATACCTGCTAGTTCCCCCAACCTAGCAAGATGAATAACCAGGTCAGGAATGAGCAAAGTATGAATGAGCTCGGCCATACCACATCTGTTGTCATATTTTGTTGCACTTGGCATAGCTTTTTATTGTAGTAAATGTACTTGATGTAAGATTTGAAATAAAGGGCTTCCTCATTTAAAATTAAACATTTAATGTGGGAGAGACATTATAGTGTCTGCATTCTTGTCTTTAGTGATAAGCATAAATGATAGTGTACATGTTGAAAAACACTAAATATTAATATGCAGATTAAGCAATTTTAGAATCACAATTATTTTTTTTATTTTTACCTTATATTATGATATAAATATGTATATTTGGGTCTTTACCTCTTTTACATTGTAACACAACTTGTCATGAAAAAAATGTATTTAATTTTATTAATTTGTAAATATTAGATTTTACCTTTCATTACAGTCAATCCACTTAATTCATTCTTAACATTGACTGATGTAAGTACAATGTATGCATTTCTATTTTTCAATGTCATGAAAAAAAAAAAAATTGTCATTTAT